GATCGGACGATAAATGGTACATCAATTATAGGTTTGAAAAAAGAAAAAGTGCTTTTCTTTTTTCCCTCGCCACTAAATTGGATTGTAAAATTCAACTGAAAAAAAGAAAAAATAAAAATAAAAATTAAAAAAAGACAGAAAGCTAAGTAAAGAAAAAAAAATTTTTTTTCTTCTTTCTTGAAAGTTAAATTGATTTATTGTTCCACTTTTATGGCTTCAAATGCTCCAAATAATAACAGTAATAAGATTGACATCGGATGGTCCTCTGTACTATGAAAGCCATCAGACAGCGGTTTGACTTAGTGAACCCAATTAAGCGTTAAAATTGTTTGGTAACCGGCAAAAACCAAATTGGACGCTTCGGCAGTTACAGCAAAAGCTTAGGCTTTTAACATCGGAGCTGGAAAAAAAAAAAAAAGAAAAAACAAAAAAAAGAATAATTCTCGCACATTTGATTAAGCATAATTTTTTTGATGACTAAAACATCAAAAAAAAAAAAAAGGAAAAGAAAGTCTAAAAAAATCTATCATCACGACGGAAGCTCAAAAAAATCATCAATAATGCTAAGTGCAAAAAAAAAAAAAGAAAAAATAGATTAACTAAAAAACTATAATAATTTTGTTTTGTCGTTTATAAGCCTTTTGTTTTTTTTTTCTAAAGCTTAACCTCTTCAACGATAGATGTCATCCACCAAATTTTTTTTTTCCATTAACATCAAATATCGACGTCTACGGTGATTACAAATCTGCAATTGTATTATTGCCTAAATTTTTGTTACTGTTTTATTTGAATGATAATTTCTGTTGTAAACAAAAAAAAACATTCTAAGATAGTAAATAAAGCTTAGATATTAGCTTTTTTTGTTTTGGAGGAGGTACAAAGAAAGTACAGAATAAATTTATCAGATACATAGAACTAATAATTTTTTTTGGTTAATATATTTCTATATGACGTCAAATGTATTGCATTTATTGAAGAAAGAAATGTAAAGATTACTGTATATGAGAAGTTGCTATATTAGATATGGAAATTTGATACTAAGATAAGATTTTTTTTTTTTT